GAATCCATTCTATATATTATTCTTTATTGGTAGTACTGCACATCGCCATGCATTCCAGGGAAACTCAGACCTTGAGAATTTACAACCTCTTACTTAAAAAAGTAGTATAGATCAGCTGAAAGGAATGGATTATTTGTAATGCAAACTTTATGCTAATTATTCTACTAACATTTGATATTTGCATAACAAGGTGATTCTCACAGATGTGCTAGCGAAATAAAATGCACATAGTAAATCATGATGTACATCGTGGAAACAGTAAATAAGCGTCTCTTCGGTTTTACGTCACGGTCACTGGGGCAGCGCTGTGAATAGTCCCTATTCACGGTACGGCTCGGGTCAGGTTCGGTTCCTGTATGCCGGTGGAAAAGTGCCGATCTTGTGTTAACACCAGCCAACAGCACGCCAGAGAAACTGCTGCAGATACGCTCGCAACAGACAGGATATGTGTATGATTTCAGCATTTACAAACGTTTTTGACCGTTAAACTTAATTCATTTTACTTGCAAAACTTGTTAAATGCGGTAAATTGTTAGCGGATTTACAGTTAGCGTAACTAAATTTAGCAGACCGATCTGCTAACGGTTTTCAGACTTAGTGGAAATGCTAATTCGCTAAAGAAAAGTTAGCTTCGCTAATTAGCAGTAAGCGGATTAACGGAACCCTGCCCACCACTCCCTGCAATAAAATACAATTTACTTTATTAATAGTGTTTTTAATGTTAGTAATGTATCGCTGTGCATAATCTATCAAGTACCGTATGAAAGTACACGAAGATCACTTTATATAGATGGGGTCCGCGGATTGTTCGCCATTGTGGTGCAATCATGTATCGCCCACGGATACAGGGAGACTGCGGTTTCTCTTGTATGTTCTCATATGTTGTATTTATTGTGACCTGTGTGGCTGTTCAACCTGCTGTATGATCCCAGACCTGCTACTGCAAAGTAATTCCTCCTACTTACCTGGCCACCTGAATCAAATGGGACCTCACAGATTTGGGCACGGTGGCTCCATTAAAAACCAGACAGCCTAAAGCTAAATCGGAGCCCTGGCTGAACGACACGACCAGAGCTGTCAGACGCGAGTGTCGCCGAGCAGAGCGCAAGTGGAAAAAAGACAGACTGCAAGTCTCTTTTCAGATATTAAAGGACTGTTGGTGCCATTATCAATCAACTGTAAAAGAGGCCAAAAGAAAACACTTTTCTGACTTAATTCTGTCAAATTGTCATAATCCTTGTGTTTTATTTAAGACCATTGATTTTGTTCTTAATGCACCGCAGACAAATTTTATCGAGCCCTCCCCTGTAGCATGTGAGAATTTTTT